CCAAAGTACTGAAGAAGATTTTTTAAGGTAACTTTTTCATTCAGTCTGAAAGTGAATATAAAGAGCACACTTATGCTACAGGCAAACCACCACTCGTGGCTATTCAAATTAAGCAATAACAATTAAATTCAAACGTGGGTAACGTAGTCCAAGACTACACATTCAATAAGATAAGAAATAAGCTGGCTCAGTATTTTACCGGCGCGTAAGTAAAAAATACCGGCTAACGAGAGAATGCCAAAGCCGGAATATCACTTTTAAATATAGCTGGCGAAAATCTAACAGCAGATGCGAGGACCAGAAGCTCTTTCTCTTTCTGTAAGATTAAAAACCATGAGCTTAAATACCCTCAAACCTAATTTGCATTCTGTTGAGGAATATGGAAGGGAGAAGTTACGGGAAAGGTCAAAATCATAATAATTGGTTAATTAATATAAGATACGTTAAAAATTTAACACTTTTACAAAATTTAGCAAAAAAAGCTAAAAATTAATTTAGTGAAGATAAAATAAATGTAATTGGCCGGAATATAAAGATGATGATTCCTCCCCCCCCTCTGAAAAAACATGCACTTTTATCAGCTTTGCTTCTTCTTTAAGCTATTATTTAAGAAAATAGTTAGTCAATTATTATTTAAAAAGCTATTAAGATAAATTAACTCTTATTCCTTAATTTTTACGTTAAAAGGAAACATATCTACTTGATTTTATTTTCATATTCTGTGTTTTTGATCATTTAGTTAACTTCCTTGTAAAAAAATTCTTCAACATGTCAGGCACATACATGTGAGGCTGACTTATACGCAAGATGTCTTTTCATATAAAGCACCTTCTACAATGCACTATGGACTTATATTTGGGCTAATACAGTATTTCAAATTCAAAACTGATCCTAAACAGAACCAGCGCTGCCTTTAGTATAAAAGGAGCAAAAGAGGGAATTTTTCGCCAAATATTGCAAACCGAGTGAATACTTTTCTATCTTCGGTTACTTTCAGCTTTCGGCTTCAAGTAGCAACCTCAGTTTACACTTTTCATTGCTTGCGACGGTAATCAACAAGATTTATTCCGCGTCAAACGAAGCTTAAAAAAAGTAAGTTTTCTTCAATTATGTAATTTTATTTACATTTTAGTGATAATTCTCTCTTGTTTCCTACACTATTAAAATGAATATTTAAATTTATGTTTCGACCCTTAAACGGTTGTATGATTTATCACTGTGATATCTTTATTATTTATACATAAATATATCGGACAATTTAAAAATTAATTTTTGAATGACTTGTCTTTAGCAATGTCTGCAGAATACTTCTTTTTATTTTGGGGGGGGGGAGACTTAAAACTGATCTACGAACTATTTTTTAAGCGAAAAGTATCCTTTAATTTAATATAGTTTCTCAGAAAGCCTTCGTGTTTACTTCAGTTATAATACAAGAAATTACAATAATATTTTATGACTATTTTGAGCATTTATACATACATGCAGTGTACCTCTCTTTAATTCATAAAATGAAACTGTGAAATTCGTAGATTAATGAAAAGTAAAATCAATGAAAGATTAACATGCGAAAATTGAGAGGCGTTATTCTTAAAAGTAAAATTAAAACAAAGCTTATGAGCATCGGAAAAATAAATATTAAATAATAATTCTGAAGGAATTCCTGAAACCCATAGAAAACAGTAATGATTAAAAGTATTAAATTTTAAGAAAAAAATGTTAAGCAGATTTTAAAAGCTTGAATGTAAAAGTCTTATACAAGCGAAAATACAAAAATCTCAGGTAGGCTAAATTGTAAAACCCATATGTAAGCCATTTGTAAAACCCCTAAAATCCTTTGGGAATGAATAATGTAAAGTGAACTTTTTAAATCTTAGTATTTGCATACTAGTAATGTACAGCTGAAAATTCTGAGAAACATAAGAGGTTTCGTATGCATTATTAATCAAGAAAGCCTCTTTATTAATGAGATTGCTACTTTGTTTTCCTTTCAAATATGTAGCAGGTCAAAATCTCTTTAAACATTAAATCCCGATTTTATTTTTCAACTGGAATATGGAAATACAGAATCACAGAAATTACGTAGCAACCTAATTTGTTTTTTATTATTAAATGATGAGTTGAAAGAATTACCAGTTATATAACATCAAGAGATTCAACTTCAACAAGTGCTTGATTAAAAATTAAGTGGGGGGGGGTCTAAAAATAGTTTGAAAATTTTATTTGGTACAAGAGATTTTTGAGGTGACTAGAGTTTTTGTTTATGTAGCTTATTTTTAAAAAAGAAGTTTGAGAAACATAATTCCGCTTTTCCTTAACTATTTATTCTAAACATAAACTTCTCATCATATAATTTTTAAAATAAGATGCAGAATCTTTTGAAAACAGACTCAGTGCTATTGGTTAGGGAGGTTTTCTTAAAAAATGTAAAATTCTCACTACCGTCACTTAGAGTAAAAATTACAATTAGCAAAATGTTCATTAGGTTTTATTTAGTTAAAATCAAGAAAGTTCCGTAAAATTCTCGGAGGTATTCGAAAGCAAGTTTACCAGTTTAAATATTTTTTCATTCCTGTTATCTATTTATGTTCAAATATATAAGAATAAATTTAAGTAGTTATAAAACAAAAATGGTTTGTTTTCGGAAACAACAGCTTCATGTTGGATAAAATAGTATTTGTCACGAAATTTTTGGCTAGCTTTTATTTTGCTAAGCTCTGGAATGAATACAACTTTCCAAATCTTCCCCGTAAAAGCATGGAGCATTTTGGATTCAGCTAATAAAAACATAGCGACTATTTTGCTAATGGCTTTTTATTCCACGAGGATCATATGAAAAATTAGATTTTACTTCGCAGATTCCTCCCCATCTATAATGTTGAAACTGTTTGCATAATAATTTACTTAAAGAGTTTATAGTGGTACTTTTCTAGGCTCGATATGTAACTAAAAGAAGCCCATCCTATCTTTTAAGAAAATCGTATATACAAATCCTACAGTGTTTCTGTACTGTAATATGTACCAGAGCTGTTTGCGATATTTTTCAATTAAATCAGTTTATTTTTTTATGTAAAAAGGTATTTTCTTCCTCCTCCTAGCATGTCTTCGTGGTGTAACGGTAGCACACTCGGGCATATTCGAGAGGTCCAAGTTCGAGTCCCGGCGAAGGCATTGCTCATTTTTCACGTCTCCTGCTTCAAAAAAGAAAAGAACTAATGCCTATATACGTGTTTGTTATATTTTAAGGAGGCATTTCATCGTATTTGAAATAAACCTATAAAACATGTTACAAATACGCTGCAGTCTTTTACATCTGCGCTTTAGAAACTGCATTTTTACTCATCTGATAGCGATCGCAAATTTCGTACGATCAAACGGAGTTGCGACTGGAAAAAATTTTAAAAACCGTGATACAGAACATATTAACATTAATTCTGGTGCATCAATTAGAAATTTGTGAAACTATCTTCGTCATTTTCATTGCATTATTCGCTGAATTCACAAACTGTATTGAGCTGTTGGATGAGTGCATCACTGCTGAAATACAGTCAACTCCCGATTAACCGAGGGCGGATTAACTGAGCCCTGTTTGAAAAAAGTTAAATTTGCTTAATTTGGAATGATGGAAAAATTATTATCACCAATCGCCAGAGTGAAACAAAGCTGTCCATGGAAAATACAAAAAAGGGGAAAGAAAAATGCGCACGGTAACACCAGTGATAGAAGATAATGTCATAGTTTTTGGAAGCTGCATTTATCCACAACAATACTTACTTTAATTGTTCGTAATTCGAAATAAATAAGTATTGTAAACCAAAAAATTCTTTCAAATTTTTTATATGAGTTTGAAATCATTGACATTGTTCAAGTTGCTACCTTGCTGGAATGATAATAGCAGGGTTAGCCAAACTTCACGTCAGTAAGAGTCGCACGTTTGAATTCAGGAGGCACGTTTGTTCGAGAACCGCATCTAGATTTTCTAAAAAACCACAAGTTCATATTTAGATCATTATACAAGTAGTGGAGGAGGTTTTAAATAGAAAGAAATCCCTAATAACTTTGTAAAAAGAGTCTAAACTAATTAATTACTTCTTTTTGGACACTGAATAGTTTTAGTTTACCACATTTCATACATATATTTTATATGCATGAGCCGCACAAATTGCCTGCGAGAGCCAGATGAGGGCGAGAACGGATCCATTCCCCGAGGTTTTATCTACTCTAATTGAGAAGAAGTTTCCATCTCTATAGGAATGGAATTCGTTACCCCCCCCCCCCCCGCCGGAAAAATAACTGATGGGTTTGACCATTCCGGAGGAAGGCATTAAGTTGTAAATGTTTGGCCGTCTGGAACACTGATCAAGTTTTTTTTTTTTTTTTTTTTTTTTTTTTTTTTTTGCAAACGTATCTTTGTCAATGTATTTGCAAATGTAAATGCTTTGTATGCATTTTTTGTTGTGCATTCTTTAATATAATTTATACTAAATTTCACCATTTCTAATGACATTCAGTCCTCTATTATTTAGTTTAGAATGCGGCTGCCTTTCATAACCAACTGAACTAACTCTCCAGATTAAACTGCTTGAAAATACAGATAAACTGTTCTAATATTTAGTTTAGAATGCCAGTAATTTTCATAACCAACTGAACTAACTCTCCAGATTAAACTGCTTGAAAATACAGATAAACTTTTCTAGCATTTAGCTTAGAATGCGATTAATTTTCATAACCAACTGAACTAACTCTCCAGATTAAACTGCTTGAAAATACAGATAAACTGTTAATAACACTTTTCTGCTAATTATTATACGGGTTATTCTTCTTTTCGGGATTATTTTTTATCTGTTCTCGTACTAATCGTGATTTTGAGATAACCTTGGACTTTGTTCCTGGTATTACCCTGGTAATCGTGATTGACTGAAAAAAAAGTTGCATAAAACGGTTTGATAATAAGAATACTGATCTAGAAATCTAGGTTGAAATTTCAAGTAGCGTCTTGTTGCAAGTGCATTTTTTACTCCTCTCCCCTCTTTTCATACATACTGACATTTGATATAGACATAAATCCAGTCGCAGGATTCTGAAATGTCTTACACATCTTAAGGTAATTCTTTGTGTCTGCAACTATTGTTAAGGTAAGTCAAAAAGGCTGTCAAATATAATTGTATATTATCCATTTATGAATTTCTTTGCGCTGCACTTCATAAACGCGAAGTTGTTCAAACATCGGGATAAGTCTAAAATGTATTATATTAAGGAACTGAACCCTAATAAAAATTGTTCTGTTGCAGTGAATTTTATATTTAGTAAAGAAAACGTTTACATTATAACCAACGTTCCCTGTAAGCTGTACAACATGCCCACCAATTTTTGTAAAGGTACACGAAATCTTTTGCTTTCTGAGAGCACAATGGATTTTACGCGTTGAATCTACAAACCATTATTGCTGATCTGAATAATACACCGCTCAGCTGTATGCAAATTAGGAAAATATTGACTAGGAATCCATTTCCAAGTTAAGTGGACTAGAAAAACAAAAATCTCAGGGGAAAAAATCTCGGTTTTTATTTTTACTTTTGCCTAAATATTTACTGCAAAGGCTTTTAAAATAAAATAATAGAAATCGCGTAACATTTTCATCGCAAATATAAGTGGGTTTTTTATTTATTTATTTATTTATTTTTTAACACTATTCAAGTGTTAGACACCTTTTGTTAGAATTCAGATATCCCAGTTTGAAATCACATATCACAACATGAAAACAAATTTCTTAGTAGCTTTATTTTTAAGTATGTATCTTTTTCAGTTAGCTTTATCAAAGTTAAATTATTTGATATTTATTTATTGTGAATTTCTGTGCTCTTGTAATGCTTCTCTATTTTTGGACATCTGTATAATTTCTTTTATATCGTGTCACTTTAGAGATTATTTTGATAGATCGCAGCTGAAATATTTTATTTGCTTTTTCCAGAAAAGTTAAAATACTATTTCAATGAATAAAAACGGTTAATTAATTAACAATTTGAATTAAAAAAATATGAGCTTCAATTTGTTTGTTTATAATTATTTAATTACTTTGAGTGTGGTGTATTTTAAATAAAAACGACATTAGTTTTATAAGATATTTCTCCAGCGTTCTTAACGGGCCTTTGTGGTGTAGTGGTCTGCACACTCAGCGCGTAACTGAGAGGTCCGCGGTTCGATTCCCGGCAAAGGCCTGCTTCCAAAAAATTCCTAATGTCTCTACATTTTATACGCATATTTACATCTGTAGTGTACTTGAAAGTTTAGTTTTTGATGCATATGGAATTTTTTTTTCTGTTATTTTGGATTATTTATGTTGTAATATATTAAAATTATGCGTATAATTGGTAAAAGCCAGACGTTATGGATTTGTTAAAAATGCGTGCAGATATCTTTTAATCCTTTTATATCGGAACGAATTATTTTTCAGAATTTCTCAAAAATTTAAGAGGATATGTGTGAACTTCTTTATAAGGTACACGCGAAAAATTTTGTCCACATCTGATCTGTTGTATTTTAAGTAAACTAACTTCAGGAGTTTTGATTTTGAAGAAAAAATTTGAAACAACATGGATTATTACAGCACCTTAAAAAAGTATAAATATTTTTGCTTTTTAAAATCATTAATAATTTTTTAAGTAATATTTCTTTAAACTCTAAAGGTTATTTTCCTTTCCAAAAATTAAAAAAAAGTGTACGAGTTTATAAATTGGTTTAGCATTTATATAAAAAATTTTGCTTGTTTAAAATTTAATATTCATCACTTTTTAAAGATATTTCGGATTGTTTAAAATTTTCCAAATGTAAATCTTCTTTCTTGAAACATGTATTTCAGGGAAAATAGATTAAAAATATCCATACATAAGAAAAATAAAAAAAATTATTACAGCAGGGCCTTTACAGCACGTGGCCTTGCTCATTAAGGTAACGCTGTCAAATAATTATGGCGAAATTTACTATATTTTTATTTAATAGCTTATTTTTAACCCTTTTAAAGAACTTTTGTGAGGTTTTCACTACTTCGCAAATAATTTCAATTTACCCGGTATTTTAAAAAGTGCTTTAGAATGAATAAGTATGAATTTATAACATCCAAAGTTATTTCTCCCGTCTTCTTAGCATGCCTTCGTAGTGTAGTGGTCAGCAAGCTGGGCGCGTATTCCAGAGGTCCGTGGTTCGATTCCCGGCGAAGGCGTTGTTCATTTTTCATCCTTCCTGCTTGCAAAATATCCTAATGTCTCTACAACATTGCAAAAGTGAGCTAGATAATATATGAATAGCATGAGCTACTTACTTGCAAAAATTTAACTGACATTTCTTTCAAAATAAGTTTTTTTTTAAATATAAATCCCAACATTCTTCGAAATTTCACTTTTCGAATGCTGTATTTAAGTTAAAAGCAAAATTCTGTATCCTAACCAGCTGTAGAATTTTACAAGCTTTTGAAATAATGATTCGGTTCCTAATAAATGTAGAGTCACCTTCCAGTTTATCACAATGATACCCGGAAAGACGGTCACGTTTAAGTCAGAAAACTTGTTAATCTTAAGGCAGTTAAAAAGAGGAATAATTCATATTATAAATAACAGAACAATACTATCAACAATTTACGTTCACTTTCAAGCAGTATAGTCTAAAGAATAAATTCGTTCGGTTTCGTAAATTACTCCCTGACTTATTTCCTCATCACTAGGTTTTTGTTTATAAACTGCATTCTTGTACTGCGATGAGAGTCGGTGTGAAACCCAAAAGATCGAAGATTAATGACTGTGTACTTGTTTTACTTTTACGACTAAGCAAGTTGCATTTAACGGATGATTTAATAACGTTTACATATTCTAGATCCCACACAATTAAATTGCGTATTGTTGTAGATGCAAGCAACTCCAAAATATTATGACGTCTGTTATCACAGCTATATGCCAAAGATTTTTTTTCTATTTGCCTTACACAATTAGTTTTTTTTATGTTGATAGGCTGTGATAGTAATTTTTCCATTGTTCCATAATAAACAAACTTAATTTCTTTTTCCAGTAAGTAAGGACAAAATACATCAAACTGAAACTGATTTAGTATTTTAATGTCATACTCGAACGTGTCTACTGTCTTCATAAATTAATTTCTCGCTTTTCGTACAATCTGAAAAGCCTCTAAATTTCTTTATGGGCAAGATTAGAAATATATTATTTTTTTGTATAGCTATGGCTTCGGATATCGATAAGCTGAAATTGAAGGAACCGGAGAGGAGAAAAAGTCGTGCATTCGGGAAAACTCGTTGCCAAACTTTCGGAAAATTACTCATAAAAAGGAAAATTACTTCTATTATTCTTGCATATATATGCATATAGTTAATATATTAAACAAATTGCAATCGAAAACCATTGGATACGTTAATGATGAAAATTATTTCGATACATAAAAGCATTTAAGCGAAATTAAATTCATTATTATAAATTTTAGCCATAATATTCTAGTAGCAAATGAAAATGACAAAAGCAAAAATGACGTTATATGACATAGTTCTGAAAAAAAAAAAAAAAAAAAAAAAAAAAAAAAAAAAAAAAACTAATGGCATGCACTTATTTGAAAGCGGTATAAGAAGTTAACATGGTGACTATGCATTTCATAGTACTTCTTTTTTTTTTTTTTTTTTTTTTTTTTTTTGTAAACAGTTGTAATAAGAAGCAATACTTTAAAGACGCTATGTTTTGATTTTATAAAGAAAAATTGGCCCCCTTTCCCCACAAAAAAAGCTTCAAACAGCTTTGTTTTTCTTAATTTCAAATAAAGCTATAGATATAGATTTTAAGCAGAACTGTAACGTAGACTATAAAGTAAATGAAAATTTGCATTAAGTACGATTTTAAATATCCATAAAAGCAAGAGTATACGGCTGCTCGTCTAAGTGATTTTAAGTATACATCGCTTTCCCCCAAAAAGAAGTAGGGAGAGAGATAAGAAGAATAAAAAAGAAAGAAGAAACCACGAGGAGTTTAACTACTTTACATTTTGAGAATTCTGCAGAAGAGATTTAAAGCCTGACCCCCAATGTTTAGGGATAATATATGACTCTGTTTTACCGATAACAAAAATTATTTCAAATCGCTGAAAGAAAATGTGAATATTTCTGATAAAAAATTCACTTTGTCAAGAAAAACCTTAATTTTAAAGTTCTTAATACATCAATGTTAATTTTTATATTTCTTCTGCCTAAAATATTGGACTTACCGAAAGCTCGAGTAATCGAAGTTTTATTGCTGAGTGTTATATAATGAGCTCCTACATAAACTTTCTATTTCAAGACTTAAGCTTAAGTCTCTGTACGTTAATTTGCCGTCTCATATTCTAATACAACAAACGCAATTCAGTGATGCCTTGTGTAAAAAATACAATTTTGTGACAGTAACTTTGTAATGGTACTTGTTTTTCGCAAAATGTACCGGAAATAAAAGAAAAGGATGTTCCTTTTAGAATAAATTCGATATTATGTTTATTAAAATATATCGAAAATCTTCTAAGTTTTCGGAATCGGACACATCTAAAGATACACTAAATCGGGAAGACATCTAAAGATACACTAAAGCTCTTGTTGTAATTCTGTTAAAATTTGGCAGAATTGAAAGCTCTTCTTGTTCCATTTTTAAAACAAACCTCACAGTTATTTAATATGAATGGAATGAATTAAGCTGAACATATACTGCATTATTAGAATGATTTAATTTTGAACAGATCCAGCAATTCTTTTAGAAATTTCAGCCATCACAGGAACTTTGAAATTGCATTGTTTGTTTGACATGAACAATTCAAAATTTTATGTGTTATAAAATAAGAAATTTATAGAGTTAATTTTTTAATAGTGTATTCCTAAAATCATGTATTAATGCAGCCGTTACAAATACGACAAATTTCATTTTGTTTTTTTAAAAATCTTGTAACAAGTACTTACATATTTTAAAGCAGTACTTGTGTAAAACACGCAATTATTCATCACACTTCTAATTTTCGAAATGCTTTCATATAAAATAAAAAAGTTTATTCTTCGCAATATGTTAAAATAGTATTAAAATTTACCTGACGACCTCCTCTTAAACAATTTTTCAACTTTTTTTCA